GGCAGCCTAGTGGGAGAGCGCTGCCTAGCAGGAGAGCGCCACCTAGCGGGAGAGAGCTGCGTAGGGCGAGAGTGCCTCCCAGTGGGAGGGCACTGCCTAGTGGGAGAGGGCAGCCTAGTGGGAAAGCGTCACCTAGTGGGAGGGCGGCCTAGCGGCAGAGTGCAGCCTAGCAGAAGAGCGCCACCTAGCGGGAGAGGGCTGCATAGGGCGAGAGCGCCTCCCAGTGGGAGAGCGCCACCTTGCAGGCGTGAGGTTGTGAGCTGGAGCTTTGGTGTCACTGAATATGTGATTCGGAGCCGCAGCGGAGTGTGCCGTCTCGGGCAGGGTAACCAAGCCCGCGTGAGCACCTCGATCATATGTGTGACCCAGATCATCACAATACACATAGGGACGGGAAAAAGGCGGGCGCCACAGTTCAGCGGGTAGGGCATTGGCCTTGCACATGGCAGGCCGAGTGGGGTTCAATCCCCAGCAACCCCATAGGGTCCTCCAAGTCCCACCAGGAGTGATTCCTCAGCGCAGAGCCAGGAGTAAACCCTGAGCATCACTGGGTTTGGCCAAAAAAGAAAAAAAAAGACAAGATACTACTGCCTTGAGTTAACAATTTGCACTTATCTGGAAAGAGAAACGGAGGTAAATATTCATAGCAGCTCTGATCATAGGATTATATCCACCAAAGATCTGTAGCACTGTAGTACTGTCCTCCCGTTGTTCATCGATTTGCTCGAGCGGGCCCAGTAACATCTCCATCGTGAGACTTGCTGTTACTGCGTTTGGCATATCGAATATGCCACGGGTAGTTTGCCAGGCTTAGCCATGCAGGCGAGATACTCTCAGTATCTTGCCGGGCTCTCAGAGAGGGACAGAGGAATCGAACCCAGCTTGGCCAGGCCGGCTGCATGCAAGGCAAACGCCCTACCGCTGTGCTATCGCTCCAGATCATCCATGAGAAATCAAAATGTGTTATAGTCACACACTCGAGTATCACGTAATGGTGAGCATGAATGAGTTAAGTACATGAAATACAGCTGAATGCTACCCATGTTACTTTAGGCAAAAAAGCTCTCCAAAGGCTACAAAGGCTAATTTTTCCTTTGTAGGAGACTTCTTTTTTAAAAAAAATTTTTAGAGTGATTTTAGGTTTGGAGCGATAGCACAGCGGGTTGGGCATTTGCCTTGCACGCAGCTAACCCGGGTTTGATTCTTCCGCCCCTCTCGGAGAGCCTGGCAAGCTACCAAGAGTATCTCGCCCGTATGGCAAATCCTGGCAAGCTCCCCGTGGCGTATTTGATATGCCAAATACAGTAACAACAAGTCTCACAATTTGTTGTGAGACGTTACTGGTGCCTGCTCAAGCAAATCAATGAACAATGGGAGGACAGTGCTACAGTATGATTTTAGTTTTATAGAAAATTTCTGCAGAAGGTACTAACAGAGCCTCTTCCCAAGAGAGGCTCCTTTGTTTGTGCTTTGTTTTGTCTTTTTTGGCTCTTGGGTCACACCTCTGTCCTGGCTCTGCACTCACCAAGCTCTCCTGCTAGGGCTCAGGATCGTGAGATGCTGGGGATTGAACTTGGGTTGGCAGCATGCAAGGCAAGAACTGACCCGCTGTAATATCACTCCGATCCCCATGTTTGTTTTTTTTGTTTGTTTTTTTTTTTGCTTTTTGGGTCACACCTGGCGATGCTCAAGGGTTCCTCCTGGCTCTGCACCCAGGAGTTACTTCTGGCGGTGCTCAGGAAACCATATGGGATGCTGGAAATCGAACCCAGGTCGGCCACATGCAAGGCAAACGCCCTACCCGCTGTGCTATCTCTCCAGCCCCACGTTTATTTTTTTTTTGAGTGAATACTTTTTATTTTCTTTTTTTATTAGTGAAACACCATGAGGTACAGTTATAAAAATATGGAATGCTTCACGAATTTGCATGTCATCCTTGCGCAGGGGCCATGCTAATCTTCTCTGTATCGTTCCAATTTTAGTGTATGTGCTGCTGAAGCGAGCACCCCACGTTTTTTAATTAAATTAAAAACACTTCAAAAACACATGTGTATATGAAATCTCAGGTAGAAACACAACTCTAGGTAGCATATATGGACATACAAGAAAAGGGAAATAAACGGTAAAGACAGGATTCTGGGTGGTGATTACCCCAGGCGGGGCAGAGCAAGTGCACACAGGCGATGAACCATACAATTAGCTGTAAAATGTTCTTGTAACATCTGGGGATTGGTGGTGGATGTTTTGCAGTTTTTTTTTCTTCTTTCTTCTTTTGCTTTTCAGGCCACACTGGGTGGTGCTCAGGACTCATGAGGTACTGGGATCTCGGACCTGGCCACATGCAAACCAAGGGCCCTTACCCACTGTCTTAGCACCTCCAGCCCACGGATACTATTTTTTTTTTTACTAATCTGTTTTCTTTTTTTCTTTAATTTTTATTAGTGAAACACCATGAGGTACAGTGGTAAAGTAAAGTAAAGTAAAGGCCCTCCCGTTAATCATCGATTTGCTCGAGCGGGCCCAGTAACGTCTCCATTGGAGACTTTGTTGTTACTGTGTCTGGCATATCGAATAGTCTCGGTAGCTTGCCGGGCTCTCCGAGAGGGGCGGAGGAATCGAACTCGGGTCGGCCATGTTGGCTGCATGCAAGGCAGATGCCCTACCCGCTGTGCTATCGCTCCAGCCCCAGGTACAGTGGTAGACTTACAAATTTTTGTGCTTGGGTTTCGATTATACAATGATCAAGTACCCATCCCTCCACCAGTGCCCATTTCCCACCACTACGGATCCCAGTATCCCTCCCACCCTCCATCCCCCCCATTCCACCCTGCCTCTGTGGCAGGGCATTCCTCCTTGTTCTCTCTCTGCAGCTACTATTCTTAACAGAAACTAAATTTACAAAGGTAAGTGCATAGGTTGGTTAATGGCCCACAATCAATGTTCCTGTTCTAACCCCCAGAACCAACAGAACTGTCCCAGTACTGAAGGGACTTTGTGGGGCTGGGGGCACTCCATTCTCCTCCAAGGCAAGACAGAGCACATGGGGAGACCAAGGTGTAGGTGTGATTTAATGAAATCACGTTAAGCGGGATGGGGCCTCCCGGGAGGATTTGTCACAAAGATACTCAAGTCAGGAAAAGGGAAGGGAACTCCGTCTTCCTCTGGTGTTATTTGGGGGGGCAGCGGCCACACCTGGTGGTGCTCAGGGCTTACCTCTGGCAGGAATCGCCTAGGGTAGGCCGTGTGCAAGGCCAGTGCCCTACCAGCCACGGTTGCCCTGGCCCCCTCCCCTCCAGTCCTGCGAAGCAGCCAGCCTCACCCAGATCTGGCCAAGAGCAGCTTACAATTGAGATGCGGGGGATCCAATCCAGGTTGGCCTGTGCAAGCACTGCCCTACGCTGAGCTCCAGGCTGCAAAGGGGATTCTGACGTCCCCCTGCAAAGCGGCAAGAAGACCAAGGCCCGTGGTTTGAAAAGCCTCTAAGTCTGTTAACTGGGCAGAATGTGATTGGTGAAAAATAATTACTGGTGAAGGGAAGGGAGTTTGATCATTGTATGACGGAGACTTAAAACTTGAAAGCTTTGTAACTTTTCTCACAGTGAAAAAAAAGGAGGGAGGGAGAGAGAGAGAGAGAGAGAGAAAGAATAGAGGAGAGAGAACCCCTGCTGCAGAGAGAAAGAGAGAGAGAGGACAGGGAAACAGAGAAGAGAGGAGAGTGAGGAGAGGAGCGGGGGAAGGGAGAGAGAAAGGAGAGAGAGGAGAACCCGAGAACCCCTGCTGGAGCCCCCAGTGGCTGGAAACCTCTGCAAACGCGCGCTCCCAAGGCGCCCCCAGACCCCCGAGGTCCCTCTGCCAGTCTCTAACCCGCGCCCCCTTCCAAAGCCAAGAACAACCCGGCAAAGCCTTCCGGACCGATGCCCTTGGCCGTCCCCGCCCAGTCCCGGGACCCACTTCGCGGGGGCGGCACGATGTCAGCGACGCCCCCGAGCATGCTGCGGGGGGCGCGGGGGTGGGGCAGCCAGGCAGCTCGCGCGCGTAGGGGCCTCGGAGCAGGCTGCGGGGGGCGCTGGGGACGTGGGCGGGGGTGGGGGGCCGGGCAGCTCGCGCCCGTAGGGGTCTCGGAGCAGGCTGCGACCGCGCCGCGTTCCACGGCCCCTTCTCCCACGGGACCGTGACGCGCCTCCTCCGAGCCGCCCCCCTCGGCCGGGAGCGACTTCCGTGCTGGGGAGACGCGCCCGGGCCCCCCCCCCCCCCGGGGGTCGACAGGCCGGGCACTGTCACTGGCACCGGGGAGCCGGACCAGACAGCCGGCGCGGTTACCACGCGGACCCGGAGCCCCGCGGCCGGCGGAGTTGAAAAAGCCGCTCCGGGCGGAGCCCTCGCCGGGCCGGCCGGGCCACTCAGGAGCCTGCAACCGGCCCGGACCCGCCCCGCCGCGAGGCACGCCGGGACTTGTAGTCCGCTTCCGGGACGGCGCTTCTTTTTTTTTCCGCCACCGCCTTTCCCCGCCGCCAGGACTCTGCCCCGCCCCTTTCCCGCACGCCGACTTCCCGGTCGCGGCGCGCCGGCGCGCCCGCCTACACTTCCCAGAAGCCTCTTCTCCGCGTCCCCGGACTACAGTTCCCAGAAGCCTCTTCTCCCCCACCCGGACTACTGTTCCCAGAAGCCTCTTCTCCGCCCACCCGAACTCGTTTCCAGAAGCCTCTTCTCCCCTCCCCGGACTACAGTTCCCAGAAGCCTCTTCTCTTCCCTGCCCCGGGACTACAGTTCCCAGAAGCCCGCGGAGCCACGCGCGTCCCTCCCGCCGCTCCGGGACCACAATTCCCAGAGACGCTCCGGCTTCCCCGCGCTCCGCGCCCGCCTCCCTCCCTCGGCCTCCTCGGGGCCTGGCTGGACTCGGGCTGCCCGGCGGGCACCCCCCACCCCCGCCGCCGCCCCCCGCCCCGACCCCCGGCGCCAGCGTGAGCGTCGCCGCCCGGCGCCGGCGTCTCCCCGGCCCGCGGCCCCCCGTGCAGGCCGCCGCGGCCGGGCCGAGCGGTGACCTGGCGGGCCGCGCCTGCGCCCTGGCCCGTTTCCTGCCTGGCTGGTGGCGGCGGCCATTTTGTCCATCCTCCTCCTCCTCCTCCTCCTGCTGCTCCTCCTGGTTGGGGCGCAGTGTCCGGAGCGGGCTGGGGGGAGAGCGAGCGAGCGCGGGGTTCGGTGCCTGTGCCCCGGTGCCCGGCCGGCGCCCGGAGCCCCCCTCCCCTTCCTCCCCGCCCCCTCCTCCCCTCCCCAGCCCTGCCCTCCCCCCGCTCCCGGGATCGCGCCGTCGCACCCACCATGATGGAAGACGACGGGCAGCCCCGGACCCTGTGAGTACCCGCGGCGCGGCGGGCGCGGGCGCCCCGGTGCATGCCCGCCGCCCCCGGCCCGGCTGCCGCGCTCCGGCCGGGCCCGTCCCCGGGGGGCGCGGGCGGGCGGGCGGGCGAGCGTGCGCCCGGCGGCGGCTGTCAGGGCCCGGTAGCGGGCGGGCGGGCGGGCGGGGGGCCCCGCGGCTGGGCCCCGGCCCGGCTGCCCTCACCCCCACCCCCACTCCCACCCCGGGGGGCTCGCGGGCCGGGCCGGGCTGGCCCGGGCGGCTGCGGCTCCGGCTCCGGCTCCGGCTCCAGCGCCGGCTCGCGGGGGCCCCACGTGCCCCGGCTGTCAGCAGCGCCGCCCGCGGGGCGCCCGCTAACTTGGCCGGCGCCCGGGGCCGCCTCTCCCGCCGCCCGGCCCCCCAGGCGGGGCGCGGAGTTGCGGGGCGGCGCGCCCCCACCCCCACACCCCGCACCACCCCGCGCCGGCCCGCCCGGGATGCGCCCCGCCGCCGCCGCCGCGCTCCCGCGCCCGCCCCAATGAATGAACCGCGGCGGCCCCGAGCGGAGAGTGATGACTCAGCACGGCCGCTCCCCGCACCCGCCCCCCGCACCCGCCCAGGGGGCCCCGGGCCGGGCGGCCGGGCGGGCGGGCGCGCACGCACGCGGCGCGGGTCCGTGGCACGGCGGGGCCGGCCGCGCTTTGTTGTTCCCCGGTGCCCCCCGCCCCGTGCTCGGGGGAGCGGGGCGTGCTCCGGGCGCGGCTGTCAGGCGCGGGGAGCGGGGAGCGGGGCCCCGGGGGTCGCGCCGGGTGGGTGAAGTTCCCCCCCCCCCCGTGTCCCCCCTCACCCCCACCCCCCTGCCCACCAGATGGGTGTCTGCGTCCGGGATTGCCGCCGGTTTGGTGGCGCTGGTGCTCTCTTTTTCTTCGCGCCGCCGCTCCTCCCGGCGTCTCGGGATCCGCCGGCATCTGCGGCGGCCGGAGCCCCCCTCGGACCGACCCCCTGGGCCTGCCCCCCGTGGCGCCCCTCGGCCCAGGAAAAGCCGCGCTCTTGCCCTCTGCCCTTTGGAGAGTCTGGAAGCCCAGGCCTGGTGTTTGGTCAGGGGCGGGTCCTTGGAAGCATCTGGGAGCGCTACCTTGCTTAGCGGGGACTTCCCCGAGATCAAAAGTTACTTTGTATCTAAAAACGTCTGAAATGTCATCCTGGCCTGGTCCTGGCTTCGGAAGAGTTGGTGGGCAGTGTCATGACGCATCTGTCGTCCACGGTGGGGGCTGTACCTGAAGAAGAGTTTCTGGTCGTGGGGCTGGAGTGGGGATCACAGTGGGTCGGGCGCTTGCCTTGCGCGCAGCCGACCGGGGTTCAATCCTCAGCATCCTCACACGGTCCCCTGAGTACCGCCAGGAGTAAGCCCTGCGCGTACCCGGGTATAAGCCCTCCTAAACCCCCATCTTGCACCCAAAGGAGAGGGATTCGGCTCTTGTTGGATAATCCGCTGTTTCGGGGCTGTCGGTCGTACAGCGGGCAGTGCGCCCGCCTGCCACCTGGCCACTCACGCCAGGCACAGGTGGTGGCGGCAGTACCTTAGCAGAGCGAGGTGGGTCCAGACACAAGCAAACGCACAGAATATGCAGGTTCAGTGCCTTTGATTCCTGTGGCTGCCTTTGCGTGGGTCTTCGTTCCCACCAAATCTTTTCCAATAGATCAATTGGCCTACTTTGGAAAAAACTTAGACGATCCTTCTTCTCCCTCCTGTTCAGTTCTTCTCCGAAACACACGTGAATCACCTGTGTGCAGCTCTCGGAACTGTGACATTGTGTTGTGAGCCAGAAAGCAGCCGATTCGTGGCACCTTCGTGGCGCAGCCGGTGTCACTGTGCCCTGGCCCTCTGCCTTTCCCCCGGCGTCCCGTCCCCGCGGGAAGGGTGCTTTTAGACTAGACTCCGTAGCTGCCAGGGTCTGAGGCCTGCAGCACTTTCTCCCGGACAGCAGCAGAAGGGCCACTGCAGTATTTGACAGTGCTTGTGCTGCTTTTCGTGACATTGACTGTAGGTCCTTTATTTTAAAGTCCCGAATGAGTTTAAATGATAGATGTAACTGTCAATGGGATTTGGTCGACTTTTGTGGGTTTTTTTTTTGGGGGGGGGATTCAAATATAAAAGTTTTAGGTAAAAGAAATGCCACACAATTGAAACTGTGTCTATTTTAATGAAAAATAATGCAGTCTTTCTTGGGTCATTTTATATATTTCTCCTCAAAGACCAAATAACCTGGTTAAGACAAGAACCTGACGAAGACTTTGCCTGACTTGAGAGGCTGAGCGTGCCATCTCCCAGTAGGGCTTTCCTTGGCTTCCTGTGTGAGGCACGACTTTCCTTTTGCACCGGGATCTGTAGATTTGGTTTTCGATTGGCTAGTATATTTTTAAAGAATGTACTCTTAATAAAAAGTGATGTTAAAACTGTTTCCTTAAAATGCCTGTGTGTTACTAGTGAGGTTTTTTTCCCTGCAGACACACACAAGCTAAGACATATGGTTCTATCATCAGAAAGCAATATGGTGTTTATAGCCTAGGTAGGTCTTTAAATATTCATTACCTCCATGATTACTAATTTATTTGATGGTATTTAAAGTGGCATAGAATTGCTTTGATGTTGAGCCTAAAGTTTGTCATATAGTTGCTTTAAGGGTCTTTTTTTCTGATGTTCTTCACTGTCACTTGACACTTCTCTGGGGGAAGCATGTACTGTGGTCTCTAACAGAATTAAGTGGTGTGTGAGCCACCCCGCAGTGTCTGACATTGCGGTGCCATTGTAGGACCCACAGTTCAGACTTATTTTTCTGGTGACTTGGGGTGCAGTGATTTCCTCCATCTTGTATCTGGGTCTCGACTTCAGGATGACACAATCCACATGCTGTATTGTGTGTTCTCCAAAGGCACCCAAATGGGTAGGGACTGTGGGTCTAGAATTAAACCCTATTATGCAGTGGTTATGTCTTAAAGTTGGTCTGTCTTCCTGAAAGAGACTTGGTTAAAATGAGGAAATAAATCCGTGATTTAGAGTATGACCTGAATATGTAAGGGCAGTAGCAGGGAGGGAAACGTGCTCTTTTATCCCGTTACATACTTGGCCAGCCATAAACTGTGGATTTGGCTATAATATGGCAGTAATTAAGGCCCTTACTGATTTATGCTGTTTCTTGAAAACCTACGTGTGTGTGTGTGTGTCAGTCAGTATCCTTCATTGTAGTTGGTCGATTAAGTTGTGTTTCCTGCACCTTTCCTCTGCTCTCCCTCCCTCCTCAAACAAAATATTGACTTATTGATCGGTTGGTTGGAGGCCCACCAGAGGATATTGGTGCAAAATCTCTCACATAGAAATGTGCTGAGAGCAAAAGCAAAAATGTTGCTTCTAGACATTTAGCCACTGAAGCTGGGTTCAAGTCCTGGTAACTCCTGGGCACTCTGGTCAGAGTGGAAGCCCATTGGGTGTCGGAGTGGGGTTATCTGAAAGGCCCAGTGCTCCTCGCTTAGAGTTCTGCCCAGCTGGACGGAGGAAGTAGTTTAGCAATATGAACTTTTGCCTGCTGCGAAACTGCCAAGAATCTAGCCCCAAATCGTATCGATTGTCACCTCACTGAGGGATAAAGGCATCGTTTTCCATTTTGAATGATTCTCCTCCTGTAGTCCCTGTCCTGGAAAGGCAAAGTAGACCTGAAGTATGCCTTTTTCTCTGTTTCCCCCCCTTGAATTAAAGTCGTGTTTAAAACTTCTGATTCTTTACTCTTGAATCCAAGCCTCTCAATCTAGGAGTTTGTGGTCTTCAAGTTGAAATTTTATTTGCTTTGGGTTTTGGACCACACCTGCTGATGTTCAGGCGTTACTCCTGGTTCTGCACTCCTGACAGTGCTCAGGGGGCCAGGTGGGATGCCAGGAACCAAACTTGGGTCTGCCACTTGCGTAGCAAGTGCCGCCTTACCTGCTGTATTATCTCTCTAGCCCCTGGAAATTTTATTTAAGCCCTTGGAACCTTAGAATATGTTGAGTGCTGCATAACCAGAGCAGAAAGAGAAGCCTGGAAATCATAATTTAGAAGGAAAAAGAGCTTCTATTGCCGAGAGACTATATTAGCAGGAAAATGTTGAGCATTTTGCCCTAAATATTTTTATTACTATTTATTTGGGGATAGTTTTATGATAATGTGAAAGTATTTTGAGCAGTATTTTTAAGACTATAATCTGTTTCTGTTTTAAGTATTAACGATGGAAAGCCAGAGGGATAGTACAGGTTTTTCGTGTGTTTTGATTTGTTTTGTTTTGGTTTTGGATTTTGGGTCACACCCGGTGATGCCTGGGGGTTAGTCCTGGTTCTGCGTTCAGGAGTTAATCCTGGCTGGGTTCCGGGGACCCATATGTGATGACAGGGATGGAATCTGGGTGGCTGAATGCCTTACCCTCTAGTACAGGTTTAAGGCACATGCCTTGCACGTGGTCAACCACCGTTTGATCTCTGGAATCACATATTCCTCAAGCACAGAGCCAGGGGTAAGCCCTGGGCACCCCAATATAATGAAAGATAAAAAGTTATTACTGTGTATTGAGGGCATATGCAAATGAATGAAATACAAAGCTTTGATGGAAATGTGATTTGGATAAAGTTAAGTATATAGTGAATTATGTTCTTTTAATCTTGCTAAATTAAGATGTCCCAGTTACGATGGCATTCCTTTCTATAATAGCTTTTGTTTTTAAGATTATGGTTTAATATGGTTTAATGAGCTTTATTTATTTAGCGTTTTTTGGGGGGAGGGGTCACACCCAGCGATACTCAGGGATTACTCCTGGCTCTGCACTCAGTAATTACTCCTGGTGATGCTCCAGGGACCATATGGGATGCTGGGGATCAAACCCGAGTCGGCCACACGCAAGGCAAATTGCCCAGCCTGCTGTACTATTCCTCTGGCCCCTGTATTAACTTTTGAAATTGCTGCTTCACTAGTGAATTTTCAGTGCTATTTGACAAATAAGAACCCTTAAAATATACTTCTCTCTAAATATTTCACAACTTTCAAAACTTAGACTTTTTTTTTAATTTGGCATCAATGCTTGAAACAATATATATAAATGATATCTCTAGAAATCCTTTCTGTCTGGCTAGAAATAAACATAATAGGGGCTGGAGCAATAGCACAGCAGGTAGGGCATTTGCTTTGCACGCGGCCGACCCAGGTTTGATTCCTAGCATCCCATATGGTCCCCTGAGCACTGCCATGGATAATTCCTGAGTGCAGAGCCAGGAGTAAACCCTGTGCCTTGCTGGGTGTGACCCAAAAAACCAAAAAAAAAAGAAAAAAGAAGAAATAAACATAATAAAAGTTGTATTAAATGATAGCTTTTTTGGTGGCTGTTAGGTAAGGAAGGATATGCCCATAATTAAACAGTAATGCAAATTTAGAACTGTTTAAAGTATTGAAATTATAGTACAACTTTTTTTTTTTTTTTTTTTTTGCTTTTTGGGTCACACCCACTGGTGCACAGGGGTCACTCCTGGCTCTGCGCTCAGGAATTACCCCTGGCGGTGCTCAGGGGACCATATGGGATGCTGGGAATCAAACCCGGGTCGGCTGCGTGCAAGGCAAACGCCCTACCCGCTGTGCTATCGCTCCAGCCCCTACAGTACAATATTCTAAAGGTTACAATTTAGCTTTAATATGTGGAAATTCATTTATCCACTCTCAGTAGAAATGAACTGACTAGCACTGCAGGTTAGATGGTGCTGTTTGGAGGACAAAGGTCACTTGTTCATTTTCCTTATAGATTGGTCTGTCTTGAAACACCCCCCCCCCCCAAATATATATGACTCATAGGCCCACAAATCCCAAACCCTTACGAGTTAAAAAGGAATAGGCAATAATCTTAGGACTTCTCTTACTATTGGAAAAAGTCTTATCACGGGATGGCCTGTGGTTGCTGTACTTACAATTAGAAGGAAAAGAGGGCCAGAATGACCGTCCTTGGTCTGGTCTGCTGCGAAGGAACATTTAACTTCTGTTTTATTTTGGGGGCTTTTTTTGGTCGTTGTTTTGGGGGGTGTAAGGGCCACACCCAGCAATACCCCAGGGTTGCTCCTGACTCTGCACTCAGAAATTACTGCTGGCTCTCATCAGGGGACTGTGCTGGGCAAGAGCTTGATCTGCTGTACTCTCACTCTCCAATTTTTTTTTTTTTCCAATTTTTTTTTTTAATGTTCCACTTAACCTTGCTTTTCTCAGTATCTTTTTTTCTTTTAGAGTATTATGTTATAAAACTGTTATGTGTTTAAATGGTAATCACAGATGTAAGACTTGGTTTTGTTGTTTTGTTTTAGAGCCAAGTTTCCAGATGTTGCATTCATTTCTAGTTAGGAAAATAAAATATTCTTTATAGAAACTGGTAACCATTAGCAAATACGTGGATTATGAGGTTGTTGCTAGCAGATGCAAAGTTTAGGAATTAAACCCTGAGAAACCAAAAAGACTTCTCCGGGACCCGGAGCGGTGTACAGTGGGAAAGGTGTTTGCGTTGCAGGCAGCTGACCTGGGTTCTATCCCCGGCATCCCATATGGTCCCCCAGCGCCTCCAGGAGGGATTGAGCCCTGAGCGCAGAGCCAGGAGTTAGCCCTGAGCACAGCCAGTTGTAGCTGCTAAACCAAAATAATAATAATAATAATAATAATAGTACTTCTTTCTGGATTTCAGCAGTAGAGTAAGGTAAATTCAGTGAAATCCATGATACAAGATAAAACCAAAACGACTCTGGAGGAGAGTGTGTGTCTAGAGGGGTGCCTTTCTATTTTTAAAACTTAGCTGTATTTCACATTTCTTACATAGAATGAATATATTTGATATATTTAATATAAAGGAAATACAAAGAAGTCTTTAGCCTTCGTTATCTGCAGAGAAATGTGTTTTGTTGTTTCTGATACTGGTTTGGGGAGGGGTTCCCAGGAGCTACCCTGGGCCTCTGACCGTCCCAGCCCCTGGGCATTTGGATTAACAAACTGTCTCTGTGCCCGGCTGTCCTAAAGCCACACAGTGGAGACCCCATTCGGAACAATGTTATTTAACCACACAAAACTTTCTTTTCTGTGTTTCTTATTCTTCTTCTTTGTATAATTGCTTTGGTTAGGCTCAAAGACGAACTCACTTTGTACCTAATAGCCCTTGATGATCAGATGTTTTAATAAGTATTTGTGTATTGTGTGTATGTTACGCGTAATTTTAAATTGTATTTGAATCTATCCATTATAGTTACCTATGACCGCTTTATATTTTTGTTATTTTTATTTGACCACATGAAAGGGAGGAGTGGTATATGCCCAGCCATATTGGTTTGTCTTTGGAAGTGACGCTGTAGTGGCCTAAGAATAAGTGTTGCTTTCTCAACTGTCAGAAGATGGGTCTTAATTAGGAAATTTGGGGGATTTTTGTTTGTTTGGGGGTCCCACCCAGCCATTCTCGGGGCTTACTCCTGGCTCTGTGCTCAGTAATTGCCCCCGGTGGTGCCCTGGGAACCGTCTGGGATGCCGGGAGTTGAACCTGGTTGGCTGTGTGCGAGACAAGCGTCCTACCCGCTGAACTCTGGCTCCGGTCCCTTAAATTAGAAGAATGCTACTGAAGACAGAGGAAACGCAAATGAAAGAGCAGTGGAAATTGCTGACCATGTCTTTTCCTCCTCCTCATGCAGATACGTAGGTAACCTCTCGAGAGATGTGACCGAAGTCCTCATCCTTCAGTTATTCAGTCAGATCGGGCCCTGTAAAAGCTGTAAAATGATAACAGAGGTAAGCTCTCCCCGTGTCTGTGCTGGGAGTTGGTTATGGTATTGACATCTTGAAGAACACCACTTTATGATACTAGCTTTATAATGTATTTCACGGCTCAGGGGCCCTGCACATGTGAAGCCTGGGTGAGGTTGAACATTACCAAATTCTTTTTAGATCATTTTGAGCCCTCAGTTATCCTGATCAATTCCTTTTTTGTGTGTTGGCGTCTTTGACTTGGCTGGACTAGGTTTAGAGTGCTGTATTTGAGAGGACAAAGGTTCTGAGCTGTTACCCCCAAACACCCTTTTTAAACGCTGTACTTCTCGTGGTCTAAAAAGTTTCATTAGAGCCTATCTTGGTGTTCAAAGAAATTAGATCTTATTTCTTGGGAGTCCGTTTAGAATTGTTAACTATTCAAATAGTGTGCATGTGAAATAGAATTGGCATCTGTGGAAGGTTAGGTTATTGTCAACAATGCAGCATCAGGTGCCTTTTTATTTTTAATCAGTGCTAATGTCTGTGCTTTCGTCGGTGGGATTTTAAATTGTGAGGGTAGTCTTTTTTTTACTTTTTCTGCTAAAGACTGTCGCAGTGTCTCGTGACTTACACTTCCGTTTGTTCTCCTCTTCCTTTTTCTTCATCTACATTTTCTCCGACCTTCTGTCGTGTTTGGGGCCAGGGATGCAGTGGGGAAGGAGGCAGCCGGAGCCCAGGGAATTTCACAGTGTCCCAGGGACGGTCTCAAGCGCTGGGGGAAGGGCGGGGGCGGGTGGGCAGGGGCTTGGACCCCTCCAGCCGCCTTCAGTGTAGTGTCCTCCGGAGGCCCAGAAAGCGAGTAATAGAGACTCGGGCTAGAAAAGAGTGTAGGGAAGAAGGGATATCCGGTCGAGAGAACGTTAAATCCAGCCTGGTAGATGGACAGACCGGAGCATAGTTGGGCTGGGCTAGTCGCACAAGTTGGTGAAGATACGCAGTCTTAGTACTGGCGGAGATCATGTTAGATCTCAAACCAGAGAACTATGAGAAATCTGTATGGTAAATTGGCCTCCGGACCGCTTACTTAACTGGTAATTGTTACTCTTCCTTTCTACCTTTGATTACTTACTCATTGATTCTTTGTCTAATAAAATGGCATTGTGCGCGGCACTTGTTGGAGCACTAGAAATAGAATGGAGAGTCCCCCAAGTGAGTTTCCCGCCCGTGTACAGTCACCCTAGGGAAAGTACTGTTGATAAACGAGTGCACAGATCCTCCTGTTAGGAGTAAGGCACAGAGAGGGAAATGGTTCCGGGACGTTGGAGAGTTGGTGCCGTTTAGGCTAGGTAGTAAGGGAGAACGTCACCTAGAGTGACAAGATGATGCTTTTTGTTTATTTGTCTGGGGGCCACACCCAGCAGCGCTCAGGAGTTCTATGTGGATTTGCGGACGGTGCCTGGCGGTGCTCTGAGGCCCATCTGGGGTGCCCGGGATTGAACCTGGACACATGCAAGGCACGTGTTTGCAAGGCAGGCGCCCTGCCCGCTGTCCTATCTCTCTGACCCCACGGTACCGTTTTAAAAGTAAGATGTCAAAGAAGAAATGGCAACCCCAAAGGCCTTGATGTGTTTTGATCTTAGACCCAGAGGGCTGGATCTGGGGGAGTGGAGGGCAGTGAACAGAAGGGGATGTGGGAATTTGAGGGAGGGTTCGTGACAGAATTTGCGTTCTATTCTGTGGCTGCAGTGGGATTTTCAGCAAGGAACGAAGGGCTCTGGTTTGCCTTTTGAAGATACTAACTGGAGAATGATTGTTGTGTAGAAAAAGAACGGCAGGTGGCAGAGTGGAAGGAGAAGCGCCAGGCGGGTTGATTTTAGGTCAGGGGTGCCGGGGGCTTCTTCTGTGGCGTGGCAGCCTTTGAAGTAGAGAGTAGATTCCGGATACGTGGTGAGGCAGAATCGATGGATCTGGAATGGTGGTGGGGTCTGGTGGGAAGGACAGCGAGGCCTAGCTAGGATTGATTCTCTTCCGGCAGATGCTGTTTTTCTAATGAGGTGACTGAGTGAGGGACAGACAGGCTGCCTGGGGCGGTGGTGAGACTCGGGAGTTCCGTTCCAGCACTCTTAGATTTGAGAAAGAAGTTCATGAAGATACTTGAAACCCATCCGAAAGTCAGGCGCAGAAAAGGGGTCACGGGTGACAGAGAAGTGTCTGAACTCGGCCAGAAGTGTCAGCGGTGAGCTTGGTTGGAAGCTGGCCGGAATGGGTCTAGGAGAGTAGGGGAGAAGGGAAAGGTCCCTGGGAGAATGTTGGTGAAATCTGATCATTTCTTTTGACAGAATTTTTTTTTTAAACCTGTGTGCATATTATATAGCCATTCGAGGACTAAAGGATTTGAAATAAATCTTTGTAATTTCTATTCAACGACTTGTACTTTGAACTTGTAAGTAGTTGTAAAATCTGATATTTCTCTGTCTTGGTATTTATGTCATCCAACAAAAATTGGTGGCAACAATTAAGGTAAGGACCCAACTGATTTTCAGAGTGTCACTCGGTGGTGGCGGTGGTGTGGGGTGTGTGAGGAGCTCCCAAGGGCATGAGCCCCAGCAGACTAGCTGCTTCTGTCATGCATTTCATGTGAGTCTGTGAAAAATTCCTGAATTTTACTATTTTCCTCTGATTCTCTCTTCTCCTGATGTGCTGTAACAGATGCATTAATATTCTGTATGTCATCGGTTCTAAGGCAAAGAAGTTTTATCATCTGTAGCAGTTGGAATGTGAAAAATCTCAATGGGGTCTTAAAGGAAATGCACTGCAGTGTGGTTGTGAATCTGTGGATGTGGTACATTGAATGGGATCGGGCCTGCTACTGGTCGGATGGATGCCTGCAGTCAGTATGCATGAGTAGACTAGCTTAACCCTTTGTTCCTGGACCCCTGCCCCCCCCATCCCGCACCCACTGCGTGTTCTGCCATGGTTAATGAGTGTTTTCCTGAGAGACGGCCAGGGTAGTCTCAAGAGGAGGGACTAAGGGGGGAATCAGCTACTGGTTTTCACTTTTTATTTGCCTGGAAGTCATTTCTTCACTGAATGTTACTGGTAAATGTCAACTCTTTTCGAGAGTAATCTGAGTGCGTGTTTTTATCTGGAGTCGTTTCTCAGGCTTACTTTCTCTGCCATTGAAGAGGGTGTTCCAGTGACTGCGATGGTCGATTTCGTGTGAGGGCCTTAGTTTCCTTGTCAGCATTAATGACCATGCTTTCTTTCCCTCAAGGAAATGCCTCTGGTTGCTTCGTCAGTATTGTTTTAGGTGCCTTGTTTTGGATTTTTCTTCTAAAACTTTCCTGGAATGGAAAACAGTGATGGTTGAAAGATCTTTACTTTATCGGTATTTTTATCCCCTTTGTAAGTGCAATTAGAATTCTCTATATTAAGTGTTTTTTTTTAAAGGACCTTTTATATGAATCCATGATGAATACTTTGTCTTATGTTAAAAAACTATTTCTACTGTTGGTGTGGATTGTAGTTTGATAAAAATTTATTTCTACTTTGGAAGGTAATAAACTTGTTTAGTATTACTTTCTTATCTTTTCAAGTGCCTGCTTGACAGCAACTGTCAGATATAGTGTTGTATGATATATCTAATATTTCTTCTATTGGTTTTATGATAGAAAGTTGTAGCTTTGTCCTGGAATATTTTGTGCATATATTTCAGAAAAACTTGATTACCAATGTTTGTTTGCTTGGTTGGAAGACCAAATTTAATTTTTTTTTTCTTTTTGGGTCACACCCAGCGATGCTCAGGGGTTATTCCTGGCTCTGCACTCAGGAATTACTCCTGGCGGCGCTCGGGGGACCATCTGGGATGCCGGGGATTGAACCCTGGTCGGCCGCGTGCAAGGCAAACGCCCTACCCGCTGTGCTATCACTCCGGCCCCCCAAATTTAAATTTCAAACATGTAGAATCTCTGTACATTAGGATATTTTTGGGCAGTCATATTAACAACTGATTCTAAATCCCAAAGTTGTGTGTCTTTATTCTCATTCCTTCCTTATCTGAAATACAGAATCTTGTCTTGGACCTAATACCATCACGTATAGCACTATTCCTATGTTGCTCAGGTAGGAAGTTTGTGAAATGGATTCATTTCTGTATTTTTTATAGTCCTGAGATACGGTTTATGAATGTAAATAGAACTCATCCTTTTGAAAATGTTGGGAAAGAAGAGGTGTGGTAAGAAGTGGTCCTTTGTTCTCAGATGTGAACTTGGCATTTTGTTTGGTTTAACGAACTTCTATGTTGTGTTTTGCCTATTTCCCTAGAATTTAAAACAGTTAATGCATCGCGCTTCTAAGTGGCTTTTTATAAGTTCTGTTTGAGTACGGAAATATTCTCAGGTGCAAGTCAGTCACGGCTGTAAATCTCATCTTTAAAGTGTTAGGCTTTCATGAACTTATGCAATCTCACCGTGTACATTCCTAGCTGTCAGTAATGTTTTCTCCTGGATTTTCTTCTCAGCAACCCGATAGCAGAAGGGTCAACTCTTCTGTTGGATTTTCTGTTTTGCAGCATACAAGCAATGACCCATATTGCTTTGTGGAATTTTATGAACACAGAGATGCAGCTGCTGCATTAGCTGCTATGAATGGGAGAAAAATTTTGGGAAAGGTAAGATGATAGAATGATGATACCGTGTCTCATGTGCATGTCCAAGTAGCGCGTGTTCCTTCGTGTCAGGGTTTCAAACTCATTCAGCTCTTCCACGTGACGGTTCGCTTTATTCAGTCCGGTGCCTTTACAAAAAGAGTCCTGCTTGATCATTATTTGATTAGCGGTGTCGCGATTTCCGACGGCATGCCTAATAATCGTCTTAAATATAATCTTTATTTTTAGGAGGTCAAAGTAAACTGGGCAACAACACCAAGTAGCCAGAAAAAAGATACTTCCAGTAAGTACTCGTGCTGCGTTTCACTGTGGCAGTGGTCGGAAATGATCCCGGCAGCGTTATCTGCTTGTTCAGGGTTTTTTTTTTCCTTCCCTTCGTGCTCCCTCGAAAAGTTGAGTGGATGAATTCTTGAGTATTTGATTACCAAATGCTTTGATTTCAGATCACTTCCATGTGTTTGTTGGGGACTTGAGTCCAGAAATTACAACAGAAGATATCAAATCGGCATTTGCCCCTTTTGGTAAAATATCGTAAGTATCACGATCAATACTATACTCGGTAGTGATAGGCCGAACTGTGTATGATAAACTTGGATCAGAATTGAAGTTTTCTTTCCCTAGTGTGATTTTTTTTAATTTGTTTGTTTGTTTGTTTTGTTATTTTGATTAATAGATGTTGTTGAAAGTGTTAATGTCATTTTACTGTTTTGGGGTCTTGTTTTCATCTAATCCCGTGTATAATATGTTAAGAAGTTTTAAGTGATTTTGTTTGTTATCTCTAAAGCAGATGTTTGGGTGGTGAAACTTACAAAGCTCAACTTTTGTCAAATGTTTTAAAGATCTAGTGGTTCAAGATAAAGAGTTAATGATCAATGTTATGTATGCTCTGTACTACATATTTATAGGAGTTTGTAAGTGGGGAAAATAGGTAAATCTTGTATCTCTTGTCGTTAAATTGAAAATGTACATGTTTAATTAAAATGATAAATGTGTTTTAACATTTTAGTTGAAAATGGTATTACGTATTAAAATGTTTCACTGTCTAAACCATAAGCCTTGGATTAATTAGTAGATTCTTTTTTCTCTCCGCATTGTTAGTAATATTTGATTCTGCTAGTTAGGGCCTAAATGTGCTTTAACTTTTAAGAAAGTTTATGCTCAAATTTCATTGTCTTTTACTTAATGAAATATATTGGGAAATATAAAGTGGTTATAAGTTCTCTAAAATGCGTATCACAGTTTATGTGTTTATTTTCTGTACCTTTAAAGTACTTTACCGAAATAAGTTTTGGCTAAGAACAACAATTCTTTTACCTACACAATTTGTTGTTCTGCAAGTCTGTTTGAAAGAAAGATTTAATTCGTAATGTTCTGTTTTGGTATTTGCTTTGCTTTTTAATCTCTAAATGTGGTAAGTAATGTTGCTTTAAAAATCAGTGTTAAGAATGATACAGGTTGCTGTTTTTCGATCTTTATTTATACCTGAGACCTGCAGTTTTTCTAAAGTCCAAGTCACAATTAAAAGTAATAGCATTCTGGTTATTTTGCAGAATTGCTCATAAGAATGGACAGGAGCTTGAAGGCTAACTGCAAGGAACTGTGCACACTGGAACTCAGTTGTAGATTTTTTTTCTCGTTTCTATTTATTCTTATTATACATTATTGATATATACATATTTTAGTATTTACATTTTAACATTCTATATTCAGTGGAGTTCTATATTTCCAATCATTTTAACTTACTCACTAAAATTTCTGTGTAAATTTGTTGTTTTCGTACTGGTGTGCTTATTAGCATTGTTGTTAGTTTTTTATTCTCCTTTCTTAAATCTCTGAAAATGTCAATTTTTCAAAATTTACAGCTGCCCAAACTCCAAAATGATGGTAGAGAATTGACCAAGAAAAATAAAGAAATCTGTTAACAGGCCATGTATGCCTTTTTAATTCCTATTTTTTCCTCTTTTTCAATTTTTTAATATTTCATATATTTTGTATCACTAGGCAGAAGACATTTAACTATTTAGAGATTGCATGGTAAACTAGCTAGCATTGTTACAGTGATTTATAGAACCAGTAAACCTTAGCAGACACTAGCCAGTAGAAATTTAGAGAAGGAAACTATTGTTTCTATTAATCTTCAGATTTGAGCGTTTTAGTTTAGACAGCACAGGCTATGTGATTAGGTTGCATGTTTATTACATGTTTTTGTCCTACTGCTTTTTTCTAACAGGTAAAGAAGCGTTAGGGAGAGTTCAGGAATGGCTGTAGTTAATTAGGGCTAACTGGAATTTTATTTAAAAAAATGCTCACAATACAGTGTGTGTGGTTCCTTTTAGTTTTTATTTTTGAGGATGACTCTTCCTCCCCTCATTGAGCCGTGCTTCTTTTCACAGGGACGCTCGAGTAGTCAAAGACATGGCGACTGGAAAGTCCAAAGGCTATGGGTTCGTGTCTTTTTATAACAAACTGGTACGTTCTCTCGGCCCAAATTTAAATGCGATGCAAAATATTGTCATTAGTCTGAAACGGAACTATTCTTTGATGTCAGCTGTAGACAGCTCTTATCCAAGGTGTGCGTTTTCTTTTTTTCTTTTTTCTTTTTTTTGGGTCACACCGGCAATGCACAGGGGTTACTCCTGGCTCTTCACTCAGGAATTACTCCTGGCGGTGCTGGGGGACCATATGGGATGCTGGGAATCGAACCCGGGTGGGCCACGTGCAAGGCAAATGCCCTACCCGCTGTGCTATCGCCCCAGTCCCTTATTTTTTCTTCAGCTTGAAAATAAGTAGCTAGGAGAGAGTGGGCTGAGGGCAAGGAAGAATATTCCGGTTGCATTTTCACGTGGGGGAGTGGAGGGACGTGTTAGGAGTGAGGCTTAAGTGACCGGAAAACATCTCAGGCCGGAGGGAAGTTGAATTCTGTTCCACTTAACTGAACGTTGCTGTTTTAACTTCTTACAGAACTTTTGTAGCTGGGATGTTCGTGACTAGCAAATTAGGAAATTTAAACAACTCACCTTAATTTTTGTGTAGATTCTTTAAGAAAAGGGCTACCAAACTAATAAGCGTTCCGTGTGAACTTTGTAACATCGAATCGTAAAGTAGATGTTTATGTAAACATTTTAACCTAACCAGTTTTTAAGAGACCATACGGGGTATCGGGGCTTGAACCCACGTTGACCACAAGCAAGACAGGCGCCCTCCCCTCCGGACTATCTTTCCAACTCTAGGTAGACAAGCATTTTTACAGTATTCTGATTCATGATTCTGAAGGCCGTTTTTTTTTTTTTCAAATGAGTTTTCAGGGCCAGAGAGAGATGCCAGTACGTTAAGGTGCTTGTCGTGCCCATGGCTGTCCTGGTGTGATCTCTAGCGTGTGGTCCCCTGAGCACTGCCAAGAGTAACCCCTGGTTACTGGCTGGGTATGGCCCACAATTTTAAAAATAAATAGAATATTTAGAAACGATTGGTGGGTATTGTACCCCTTTAATCAGTGAATTTTTAGTTTGGGGGTCACATTGGCCATTCCTAACTTGGAACTTCGAGTCAGCCCCCACAGTGCTCGGTACTTGCGGTGCTGGGACGAAGCCCAGGACCTTACCCGTGCAAGGGCAGTGCCCCACCACGGAGCCGCATACCTGGCTGTGGGGTGCTGACACTTTTTCAGCCCTCTACATATTTGGATAGGGATCAGTTTCTCTTACCCCTTCTGTCTTGTCTGGGTAATCTGAAATTATGAATCTGAGTGTGTTTTCTGAATCACTGAGGTTCAGATCACTTTCCTGTGGTACTGGGTTGGTTTCCGCGCTGAGAAAGCTTTGTGCTGCCTTCACCAGTCCGCTGTCTTGAGCCCGCAACGTCAGCATTTTCTCTTGCCTGCCTGGGTCTTCCGTACTTGGTGTGTCTCCCGGGTTCCTGATCGCTTTCTTTTCCCTCCTCAGGATGCAGAAAATGCCATTGTGCACATGGGAGGCCAGTGGCTGGGCGGCCGGCAGATCAGAACCAACTGGGCCACACGCAAGCCGCCCGCGCCGAAGAGCACACAAGAAAGTAAGGAAGGTCTGCTGAGTGTGAGAAAGCCTGGGGTCCCCACACATGGTGTTAGTATAGACCTGATTCCTCAGAATTCAAATCTTAGTCGCGTTATAAGATTGTTTCTATTTGTCTGTCATGAGCTCTGAGCCTTCTTATTTTTTATATATATATACATATATATATATATATATATATATACCCAACCTCAAGGAAAAATGCAGTGTTTTTTCCTATCGAGGCGTATCTTATAGTATGTCATGATCGATTTTATAATCCTCGGCAACCACCAGCATTTTCTCTTCTTTCTGCATGTAGATAACACTAAGCAGTTGAGATTTGAAGATGTAGTAAACCAGTCAAGTCCCAAAAATTGCACAGTGTACTGTGGAGGAATTGCTTCCGGGTTAACAGGTACAGTGTTTCGGGTTTTGGTCCCCTTCTCTGGGGAGCCTCAGCACCATTGGTCCCAGTTTAATGATACACCTGACATGCCTGACTATTCTTTGGTGGTTTTGTTTTTCAGATCAGCTTATGAGACAGACGTTCTCACCGTTTGGGCAGATTATGGAAATCCGAGTTTTTCCAGAGAAGGGCTATTCATTTGTCAGGTACAATTAGACACGTGTTGTTGTTGTTATTGTTGTTGTTGTTATTGTTGTTGTTATGTTATTATCAAATCTGATCATTATAATCAGATTTGCTCTGTCATTTCCATTACGTTTATCTCCTTTGAGGCAAGAGCAGTAGCATGGTGGGTAGGGCGCTTGCCTTGCACCTGTCTGACCCAGGTTCGATCCCCGGCATAGGGTCCCCCGAGCACTGCCAGGAATGATCCCTGAGTGCTGAGCCAGGAGTAAGCCCTGAGCACAGCCAGGTGTGACCCCAAAACCAGACCAAACAAAAAAGCATTGCTCAGCTCCTTCAGCTGTCCAAGCTTGTTTGCGTGTGTGTGTGTGTGTGTGTGTGTGTGGTGCGCGCACGTGTGTGCACATATGTATGTGTGTGCTCCCCCTTTCCCGTTTGTGACCGAGATGCCCAGTCACACACTGGTTGTCACGTACGAGCAGCACCACGAGGGTCTCCATGCTGGGGATGGGGTTGGGGGGTCTGACCAAACCCGGGCGCTGAGCTCTCTCCCCAGCCCAGGGTGTCCAACTTTCCGTTCCTCGCATTCCTACCCTAGGAATGTACCCGGTAGACAGAAATGAACGGCTTTCTGCATCACACACTCGTTCTCAGGGGGTGCCTGGATGAGGGCTTCTAAGCAGTGTTTAGGGGTCACTTCGGGCCATATCCGGTGATTTTCTGTTTTGGGGGACCACACATAGCGGTGCTTGGGGGACATGTGGGCGCCCCTGGGATTGAACCCGTGTCAGCCACCTGTGAGACCAGGGCTAGGGAAGATGTTGCTGCTTGGACCCGGCAGTACTGGGGGCCACCATGACCCCAGCGGCGGTGCTTGGGGCACGAGACAGGGCCAGGGGTGAGACGGGGGTCGGTTTCTGACTGGGCACCTGAGAACCTACCTGTGTTGGCTCCCTGACTTTCGAGAAGCAAAGGCCCGAGCTGTGGCCGGGGGTCCTGGCGACCCTACACCTCGCATAGCCGAGGACAGGGAAGACAAACCCTCATTACCTTCCTTTCTTAGATTTTCAACCCACGAAAGCGCCGCCCATGCCATTGTGTCGGTGAATGGTACCACGATTGAAGGACATGTTGTGAAATGCTATTGGGGTAAAGAATCTCCTGATATGACTAAAAACTTCCAACAGGTAATTCCATTTTCCGTACTGCCTTTTAAGGTTTCCTTGCATGTCTACTAAAAGCTTTAGAGACCTCTATAAATAACGAGAGTTTAGAGCATATTGCTGCTTTCGGTTGATTTTGTTAATGCTGTTTCCAAAGTGATTTTGCGGTATTAACTGAATTTTAATACTTTCTTTTCACAGGTGTCACCACCCCAATAAACTTAGACAATGATAAATAACAGAGTCCTATTCACATAAGGGTGCTTACTTAGTTTTTCTCTTCCTTGTCTCCCACTTTCTTCAAATGCTGTGTTTCCTATCTGGCCCCTAAAACTGCCGTTTGCTTTCTTTTAGGTCGACTATAGCCAGTGGGGCCAGTGGAGCCAAGTATATGGGAACCCACAACAGTACGGACAGTACATGGCCAATGGGTGGCAGGTGCCGCCTTACGGGGTCTACGGCCAGCCGTGGAACCAGCAAGGATTTGGAGTAGAGTAAGTTGTTCGGGATTTTCCCTTCTTTTTTTTTTCTTTTTTGTGGGGTTGGCGGAATGCACATCCAGCAGTGCTCAGAGCCTGTGCCCAGCTCTGCGCTTCGAGGTCACTCTTGGTGGGCTTTGGGAGACCATATGTGGTGCTGGGGATGGAACCTGGGTCAGCTGCGTGCGAGGCAGACACCCTCGTGCTGTCCTGTCTCTCTTTCTCAGCCCCAGAAACAGGTTCAGTCCTAAGAAAAATTGTATTTTATCAGAATCGTATCTGTTCCTGTACATTGTATTTTGAACTTGTAGAAATCATCAGAAAAGTGATTTATGGTCAAAAACAAAAATTTGTGTTTTGGGGGGGCTGGAGTGATAGCACAGCGGGTAGGGTGTTTGCCTTGCACGCAGCCGACCCGGGTTCGATTCCCAGCATCTCATAGGGTCCCCTGAGCACCGCCAGGAGTAACTCCTGAGTACAGAGCCAGGAGTAACTAACTCCTGTGCATCACCGGGTATGACCCAAAAAGCAAAAAGTAAAATTTAAAAAATAATTTTTTAACCTAGTTACAAAGGGAATTTTTTGGAAAGTATCTTTGCTAAAATAGGAATGTAATAAAATGTATACCTGTTAGTTTGTATGAAAATTTGTCTGACACAAAGTAATTAACTCTTTTTAAACTGTAGTGGTTTTACTGTTTGGGGGCCAACACCAGGCAGCGCATCAGGCGGTTCATTCCTTGTTGGAGGTGGGGAGGGGTCAGGAGACCGTGCGGTGCTCAGGATTAAAACTGGCCTCCTGTGTGCAGAGCAGTATCTTTGAGCAGTATCTTTGACTCTAACTTTTTTGTTTTATTGGTAGGGTGTTTTCGTCCATTTTTCTCCCTAGGTTAGGCCAGACTTCAATTTTCATTGATTCCCACCATGTTTTAAAAATTCCTTACAAGTTCAAATGATGTTTCAGAGCTGTAGTGCAGTGGTTAGGGCACTTGTCACGGATGCAGATGACTCGATTTGATCCCTGGCACCCTATGTGGCCCCCTGAGCACCACCAGGAGGAATTTCTGCGTGCAGAGCCAGGAGTAAGCCCTGAACATCACCAGGCATGGCCCCAGATTTAAAAAAATAAATCACAGATCACAGATCATCCTGTTATTCGTCAGTTGCCTCGAGCAGGCCCCAGTAACGTCTCCTTCATCCTAGCCCTGAGATTATATTCAAGGCTCTTTAGGAGAATGAGACCCATCATTGTTACTGGTATTTGGCATATTTGGTACGCCACGGGGAGTTTGCCAGACTCTGCCGTGTGGGCAGGCTACATTCTATAGCCTGCCAGTTTGTCCAAAGTAGGAATGAGATAATAAGATGTCGCGCGGCCACGCGGTTCCAGGAGCTGGTTTTTATAGTCTCTGAGTCTTGGCCACTGATGGGATTACACGGCGCCAGGGGGCCAGTTGGTGGGTGTGACCCCCGCCTACTGGAATTTGGAGGATCTGAGTGGAGGATGCTCGACTCCAATCCGAGTAGGCTTGGAGATCTCGGCCCCGGAACCCACGTGGCTTTGTCCCTCTGCCGGTACCTTCAGGTGTGCGGAGAGTGGTCTCAGCATGGTGGTGTCTGGTCCTGGAGGTTGTCGGCTGCTGGAGCCCTGGTCGGGGCGGGGAGGAAAGCTCAACCTGCTCCCTCCAATGGGCCCCGGCGAGGAACAGCCAGGCGCGGGGGCAGGAGACTGCACTGTTCTCCCTCCGGGATCTGGTTTTTATAGTCTCTGAGTCTTGGCCGCTGATGGGATTACACGGCGCCAGGGGGCCAGTTGGTGGGTGTGACCCCCGCCTACTGGAATTTGGAGGATCTGGGTGGAGGATGCTCGACTCCAATCCGAGTAGGCTCCAAATAAATAAATAAATAAATAAATGTATGTCACGTGTGCAATCAGCGTATGATGAAAGGACAGTGCATTGAATCATTTGTTCTCTTTTTTAAAAAGTCACTTTTGAAATACTCCAAAGTCATCATTGTGTTACATTGTGAATATCTTAAAATTTCAAGACTAGGAATTCAGTTCCCGGCGCCATATATGGTCCCCTGAGCACCAGGAAGTGTGGGCCCTTCCCCTCAAAACCTGAAGACTGGTATTAGAATATGCTCTCTACATTGTGTGGATATGTAGCAATTTCTTCTTTGTTGTTGTTTGTTTTGTTTCTGGGCCACACCTGGCCGTGCCTCCTCGGGGCTCACAGCTGTGCTCAGGGATCACTCTTGCTGGGCTGGGGAGACCATTCTAGAGAGGTCACCTGGGGCTTGAACTGGGGTCAGCTGTGTGCAAGGCAAGTGCTATACCCACTGTGCTCTCTCTCGCCCCACATGCAGCAATCCTTTGATCCTTTTTGTAGGTTTTTTGATTCTTGGAGAGGGATTTCTACCTAATAAGTGCCTGTTTTCCTTTCTTCCCTTCCAAGTCAATCACCTTCTGCTGCTTGGATGGGTGGATTCGGTGCTCAGCCCCCCCAAGGACAAGCCCCTCCCCCCGTGATACCTCCTCCCAACCAAGCTGGATATGGCATGGCGAGTTACCAGACACAGTGACTAGCTGGGACTCTGAGCAGAATCACAGTTCACGAGAGCTTCAGTTTCCTGTGACACCCTGAAGACACGAACGGAGACAGCGGAAAGTGGAAATATTTATTTTAAAAAATGGAAATGTTTGGAACCTTTAGGACAGCTTTGCTTGGGTGAAGGACACATGTCTTCTAGTTCTGCCTTTTTAAGTTTTTGTTCATGATGGATATGAACATGATTTTTCTTTGTGTACAAAAACTAAAATAAAGTCAATAAAGACAATTCTGACTAAAAATTTTGATATAAGAAATGGGTAATACATTTTGATTCTTAGATACTATTCCATTTTTATCTTGCTGTTCAGTATTTTAATTCACTGTGTTTTTAAAAGAGCAAAAAAGGGAGGATCGTGAAAATCTGGGAATCACATATAAGTTCATCCTGAGCCTTGATACTCCCCACCCTTACCCCAACCAAGGTGGACCACATTTGAAGTCAGCGGGAAAAGTGAGATATTCAGAAGAAGTGCATGATTTTGGAGTCGCTTTGGAGGAAAATTTTTTCGGTGCCTAAAGAAACTGAAGCCAGACGATAAAGAAATGTTGCCGCCTGAATAAGGACCAGCGCTGAGTTCCTTGAGTGAATGTTGGTGGTCCACAGCAGACATATTTTTTAAATTAAAAAAAAATGTGGGTTATTAAAACTATAGTAAATTATATTTCATTTTTTGGGGGGAGATTCCAAGTATGGTGTTTGTATAAAAATCAGACAGTCCTACTTTTACATGAAGTTTAAATGATATACATTGTAAATACTGAACAATAACTACAGTGTTTTAAAAGCATGCTTCAACATAGAAGTAGCAGCAATATAATTATCTGAAGTAACACTTAAGAACTCACTCCACTGCATTAAATGCAGTGGATTGATAAAAATGTTTAAAACTGACATCTCCAAGGTTGGCTACTATGTAAAATTAAAATTAGACAAATTACAGAAAGCCTTAATTTTAATTTCATACCAATCTTTGATGTATTTTAAATGGTTGGAAATTAGATTTCTTTTGCTTTTTTTTTTTTGCTTTATATCACTTGGTATGTAAATACCTTTATGAAAACCTTATAAACCTATTTCAAGGTTTCAATAGGTTTCAATCAGTTGTATAGTACAAATGTTTTTTTAAAAATTCTTGTGTTTTTTTAAAATCAGATCTATTTTGCCCGGTAATTTTTTAAACAAGAACACTAAAACATCTTGGTTAGTTTAGTGTACCAGTATATTAATTCGATATTCAGCTTAAAATAATACACAGAGTTGCAATTTTCATTTCTTTCTCTCATGGGTATGTAGTGTGCGTGAATGACTAGCCTGACCAGAGACTTTAGTACGTGTGCAGTTTGACTGGACGAGATAAGCTCAAGATTTGTTTCTGGGCTATTTTTCAGGCTATCTGGATAAAATCTGCCTCAAAATTTCTATCAAAACAAGAATGTAAAATAGAGAATATCCTGTGTATTTGAGTTCTGACGAGGGGGGAGGGGTGCAGGTGTTTCAATAGTGCATTTGAAATGGTGGAAACCTGGGCACCAAAATGCAAAAATACTACTTTACTATGAAATAGCAAGATGCAACTGGCACCCACAGATGACTATTTTTTAGACTTTTGAACTCTTAATTAGCTTTAAAAATGATGGTTTTATAAATTGGTGAACAGCACTTATTTTATTATTCCTTACTTTCCCTATTTAGAAGCAGAGCCAAATGTATTCATCACCGTGAAAACCCCCAGGTTCTAGAGTCCCTCATCTTGGAGCCAGTGTTTTTATGCATTTTAGTTTTCACCACCCTCGTCCTCGATCCCATTGTCCCGTTATAAAACCTACCCTTATTCCGTTCCTCCATGACTGATATCTTTGCGGGGGTGTTATAGAAGAGTTACTTTATATTTTGTAAGGAGAACACATATCAATTATGCCTCCTGGTTAAAAATTTCTTGAATACATGTGAAACTTGAACAACTAAAGACTTTTTTTTTATATATATATATTGATAAAAGTCTATTAAATTCTCCATTTGCCTTTTTGGATCTACCAGTAAATCAAGTAGCTTATTGAGATAACAAATATAGCCACAGTGTTTCTTAGTTGTATATTCTATTGATTTAATAAAATTAAACTAGTTATATCGCCATAATAAACGTGACTGAAGTGTCCTTCGTCTTAATCGGAAAGAGCAAGATTTCGAAATAGGTTCAGTTATGGAAGTTATTTCATATGAAAAGAAAAGATTTTTAAAATACAAAGCTACTTATCCAAATGAAGTGCACCATTTTTAAGTATAACTGTCAAGCTAACACAGACTTAAGATTATTTTATAACAAAGTGAAGTCAGTGCTATCTTGATCCAATTTAAGCCTAAGAATCGTTGCCTTTTCCATGTTCATTAAAAGCAGCAGTAGAGATTCTTTGGCATGCAAAAAAATGTTTCTTATTTCATAATACTGAGATTTATTTTGGTGATGTATTTCTGACTGCCGTTTTCCTTGCTCTAATGATCTCTCTCCTAGTATTTCCCACCTTGCCATTCCCACTTGATTTTTCTGTTTGCCGGCAGTGAGAGGCTGAAATGACTGGCCAACTTAAGCCAAAGCTGTAAACCACAGTTGAAGTAAGTCTTTCAATAAAGACTAGACTATGTAAGTGGCTTTTTCTTATTGTCGTTTATTACATCATTATTCCTTCCAGGTGACCGTGAGATACGCAATATGGTTTTCTTTCATTAGTAAGGTAGTGGATTAGACGTCTACCCAGAACTTGCTGGATTAAAGTTTAATTTTCTGAATATGGAATCAAAAACTCGTATCCTAAAATACCTGCTCTGTGGAGTATTATAAAAATCGTTCATTGGAGTCCCCAGATAGAAATACCAGACCATTATCTCCCATATGTGACATTCCCAATGGAGATGTTACTGGTGCCTGCTGGAGCAAATCGATGAACAATGGGAGGACAGAACTATTTCCCATATTGTAGTTGATCTATCTGTGTAAACTGCTGAACAAAAAAAGGAAAAAAGAATAAAGTATCTAGAGGGACTGGAGAGGTAGTCGGCAGGTAAGGCACTTGCCAGGCACTGGGATTCAGGTTCAATCCCCACCTTCCCATGTGGTCCCCCCAAGCTCTGTCAGAAGTAATTCCTCAGTGCGGACCGAGGAGTGACTGGAGCATCACCTGATGTGACCCCAAAACAAAATGTTAAAAATAGATGCTTTTCTGGCTGGTGTCCAAATTAAACCGCACCTATTAAAGCTTTCAATTTTTGAACTGAACTTTCAATTAATATTTTATGTACATTGAATTTGCATTTATAGTATATATTGAAAAGATCAAAAAATGATTTAGACCTAGGCTTTTTTTTTTCTTTTTGGGTTACACCCGGCGATGCTCAGGGGTTACTCCTGGCTTTGCACTCAGGATTCACTCCTGGCGGTGCTCGGGGGACCATATGGGATGCTGGGAATCGAACCCGGGTCAGCCGCGTGCAAGGCAAACACCCTACCCGCTGTGCTATTGCTCCGGGCCCTAGACCTAATTTTTAAAGAATCCTTCAGTGATCTAAATGAATGGGTTTTATTAAGTAGAGTTCTGTGTGTACTAAGAGTGTCCTAATTGGCTTGATAAATTTAAGTGCCATATGAATACCTGGTTTCCCATTTACCTAATTGGGTTTTTTTTTCGGGGAGGGCACACCTACCATTGCTTCCTGTGTGGTACTTCGGGTACTGGACAGTGCTAGGGATCCAACGGTGCCAGCAGGCAAAGTACCTGCTCCAGTCCTTCGGGCCAGCTCCTTGGCCATCTTAAACTCGGTCTGTTTTGAAAAGTAGTTCAGCTAGACCAAGTATTGGAACCCACAAGGTACTGGTATAGATTTATTTTCTTTGAAGTCCTAGAATGACTGCCTAAGGGTGAAAATTTAATTTACATATGGGAAATAGATAAGGGAAGTATGAATTTTATATACGTATGCTTATATAATTTCCAGGATGAGGGGCGGGGGCCCAGCTCTGGGCTCCCACATTCAAAACATGGTCCCTAAAAAAAAAAAAAAAAAAAGTGTTGCCTGCCTCTGAGCCTTCTCCCCGACCTGCCCAGGCGCTTCTGAATAAGATTGTCCGTTGGAACAGTTGACATAAGGTGAAAATGACAGAAGGCCTAGAAAATGCCTTAAAATTCTAGCCCAGTTCTAACATGTCTTCTAAGATTTTAACCGTCTCAGTTGCTGCTTGTTTTTTATTTTTATTTTTTTTTAATTTCAGAAACTGAATAACTAACCCTAACCATTGTTTGTCTGAGCTGTCCCTTTGGGAAAGTGACCCATATCTAATATTTCGAATCCAATACCTTGTTCAGCCTGGAAAATCTGCTTAACGTCAGTCAAACCAAAGAGTGGTTGGATGCTATTCCGAGGAATCACAGGGCGCTTGCCTGTGGAAAACTATCTTCTGGTTGATGTTATTTTCTCAAGTTCCTGCTTTTGTTTATTCATTGTTGCCGCTCAAGGGCTGTGTGACACCAGGAGTCACCTAGGCGCTCCGGTGTCGAGCGCCTGAGGACCTGTCACTTGGACCCCCTTGGGGCTTGCTTCGTCCGTCTGCCCATTTTAATCCTGTTTAGTTCTTGGAAACTGGCGGTTGGTTCTGTGGAATGAATGGTATTTTTACTAGAATTACCTGGATATACAAACAGTAGATAACATAATTTGCCCGGTTGTGATTTTGTTTTCTGTTTCTACATCATTTTCCCTTGGATATCCAAGATTATTAGTTTTGGGAAAGCCAAAACCATCTCGGTATAAAAATGCAAATGTGCCATTGAGCCTTTGTTGAGAACTGATAACAGTATTGTATCAGATCCCAAATATTGTATTGATACTAAATACCAGATTTTCAGAGTTCCTTCTACTAGCTAAAAGTTGAGGGGACGGAAAAAAAAATGTTGAGAGGCTGGAGAGGTAGTGTAGAGGGTAGGGCATTTGTCTTGCACGCAGCCAATCTGGGTTCAGTCCCTGGCACCTGGTAAGATCCCCTGAGCACAGAGCCAGAAATAGCCACTGAGCACTGCCAGGTGTTACATGGAAAGAAAAAAAAGTTGTAAGTTACATTATTCCTTATATGGTTTATGGGATGGCTTTGATTTAGATAAACTAAATTGAACCTGCCCATTTAATCTTAGTTTGTTCTTTCTGAAAGGGACCAAAGTTGGGGAAACCGTTTGTTGGGTGTGGGACTGGGGCAGGAAGCGGGAGGGA